GGATACAGTGAATACAGAAAACATTGTGAAATAGTTTGTGTGTTATGAAAGGAGCTGTCCACAGTCAGACATGGACAGCAGACACAGTGACACATTTATTTTGAAATGCTCATGTTGGAGTTGAATCACGATCTGCATTCATGGGTGCACATTGATAATAGAGTGCTGTCTATTAAAAAGTCACTCATGACGATGATTGAAGGCGACAAAATGCACAACAAACATATGCCATTTTGTTTTGGATTAGTCGATATGTTTTTAGGACTGTATGCATGAAGCATATGCAAACTGACCACTTTTTATAGACTTTGAACTAGTCGACTGTACTCAGGTGCATAGGACCTGAACACCTGCAGGGACTGTTTGTGGTTTAGATTTATACATTTCAGAAAAAGCTGAGACAAAAAAATGTGTCTCATCTGGAACAGATGCAAATGATAAAACTAGCCTTTTAATGACAGTATGTTGTCCTGTTCAAGTTCCAGCTCCACCACCCTCAGGCAGAGTGTCTGCCTGTGTCACTCTGAACCACATCTCTTGAGGAAAATTTGTATGTTTATTTGTGCAGATCTTCTGTGTTCTGGAAATGCTTAAAGTTCTCCCCTGCCTAAATCTTGTTTTCTTGAAAAAAGGTTTTTATTTTTAGGCTTTATTGACAAAGGAAGTTATTGACACTCACAGACATTGAATGACAAATAGTGGTGTGCAAAAAGAGACCTTTATGTTATCTTACTGAGCCAAGAAGTGACAGAACTTACTTTTCTTCAATTCTTTTTATTCAGAGGAGCTTCTTCAATCCAATGAAATCTTAAGGAATTTACAGACAAATTGTGTTAACAAGTTAATTCAAATAAAAATGTATTTCTGTTTTTAGTAACAAATTACATTAATGAGTAATTAATACAACTAAAGTGCCTAAAATGTTTCTAAATTGTTTAATTTCTGTTTATATGCGATTGTTTTTTGTACAGCTTTGTGTTTTTGACCTCAAGAAACAAATGATTTAAATATTTGTTATTATTTGATTACTGTAATAGTATCCTTTAGGGCACGTCATCTTGCACGCCTTCTCACCCGATCCCGTGTACACATCACCCCTGTCCTGCAAGATCTCCACTGTCTCCCTGTCCCGTACTGTATCCAGTTCAAAATCCTGCTCCTCACACATAAAGCCCTCAACCACCAGGCCCCTCTTACCTCACGGCTCTCCTCCACCGTCACACATCTTCAGCCTCCGTTCCTCCAACGCCAACCTCTTGTCTCTCCCACTTAGAACCAAGCACCGGACCTGGGGGGACAGAGCCTTCTCTATAGCTTCTATCTCTGGAACTCCCTGCTCACAAATATTCATCACTGCACTAACTCGTCCACATTTAAGTCATTACTCAAGACACAACTTTTCAAAAGAGCTTTCAATGTATGAATGTGATGTGTTTCTGTTTCTGTTTGTCCTATATGTTGTTGTCTTTATGACCTGTGTGTAATGTTCCAATGGTTGTTACTTTGTTCGTACTGTATTGTCATCTTTCTTTCTCTCTTTTTTAAGAATGTACAGTGTCTTTGAGTTCCCTGAAAAGTGCTTTATAAATAAAATGTATTTTGATTATGCACAGCCAATGGTGCCTTATGTCTTGATTTAACAATATATTTTAATGAAGGGGGTAAGTTATTATATATTATTGAAATAACTAGTAAAGGAATTAAACAATTTTAAGATTTTGTTTATCGTACCATGTGAACACAAAGTGAACTTCCTGTTTACAAAGACCATTTTCCTGTGTACCAAGATACAAAATATACATATGTATCTATATTTCTGTAAATAGTATTTAATTGCTGACATATTTGCAGCAACTATTGTTCCATATTAACCTGGTTAGGATTATTTTTGATTAGCAAAAACAACAAATATGAATTATCATCCAATGAGTGTCCTTATCAGTATTTTATTGATCAAATATCAAAAGGCTTTACTAAAGGATGTAGAGTAAAGGGATATTTTAAGAAACCTTATTGCATGTGATGTGAAGGCTTTATTGATGAATTCAAGTGTAAAACACAGATTATTTTATCTTTAAGAACCTGAGCCTATACACCCAACTCTAGAATATGTTAGTCTCAATGCAAATGTGGAAATACAATCATCCAGGTTTTTTTCGCCTTAGTTCAAAGTATTAGACGTGTACTGACACATTAGTGAGTTTACATTAGTGGAGGTTGCACACAGGCATAATTACTTCCATTTAAGAAAAATACTGAACATTACTTAATAGGATCACAGGGATTAGCGATGTGTAATTGTTTGCATTGGGACTAATTTGAAGTGCAGGATTAGCATGTGAGATACGTATCTCATCAGTTAATAGACAACATAAAACAGTAACTATATTAATTGAAAAAAATGCATTTCTTCTAGCCAGTGTTACTGTAACTCCTGAATAACATATCAAAGTTGGGGTCTCCCAAACAGTGAAAAATATACACTAGATCTAAAATATAACAAGCAGTTGAAAACTCTGAGAGCAGCAGAGGTGAGTGGAAGGCTTTGTGGTATTTGTATGTCCTCACCTTTAAGTTAGCTCACAGCTCTGTGCTCATTATGTAACCTCATTTACAAATATGTCTTTATCTGGAGGCAGATGAGCAGACTATACCACCAACCTCTGTCTGTGTGTGTGTGTGTGTGTGTGTGTGTGTGTGTGTGTGTGTGTGTGTGTGTGTGTGTGTGTGCGTGTGTGTGTGTGTGTGTGTGTGAGAAACTTTCTTTAATTGTGTTATTGATGATATCACGGACTATAGTGCATAAAGACTGGAGCCTTCATACATGTGTATCTTATCAGTCTAAACTTTCTGGACCAGTCTTCTATCAGTTGATTAGATTTTCAACAGAAAACACACACACACACACACACACACACACACACACACACACACACACACACACACACACACACACACTTTCATTAGAAGCGTGGCTCTAAATTTCACCACTGGAAGAACACTGAACTCTAGAGGGGAAAAGGAGGAATAACAGCATTAGAAAAAACAGAGCTTCATCCATAATTTTCGTGAAAATGGAGCCATCAACATTTTTCCCAAAAATTAAAAGAATCTACTTAATAGATTATTTTTCAGTAAGTATTCATGTGTTTAAATGCATTCTCTGCAGCCACTTATTCTATGCACATTTATTTAATATGTGTCAAACAATTCATGCAAAACCCTGAATGTTGGTCCTTGAAAAAAAAAAAGGGAAACCACGTTTCTATTCTGTCTTTCTTCAATTTGTAAATGGACCATGTACAATATTGAACATACATGTTGCCATTTGATGCATTCTACCAGAGTGAGTTTAGAACTAATTTGACAAACAAGCAAAACAAAACAAATCAAAGACCAAAAGAAAAATACTATATCTTGAGTGCTATGTGACACCAGACTGGGTTTGTTGAGTAGTTTCACAATTGTTCAGGAAACTGCAAGTAACTTTAAACGATTTGTGATTTTAGTCAGGTTGATTTGAATAAATACAAAAAGACACTGAATACATATTTGATACCAACCTTTCTTGTTTTTTTTTGTTATTTTTAGGTAGCCTATTCCAAAATCTGGAGAGGGACTATTGATGGAAACTAGCCTTTTGGCTAACTCTGGTGTGAATTGTTGATTAATATGCACTGTCCCTGTGCAATAAAATATAATAAATAAATAAAGTAAAATTTAAAAATTAATAAATATATGAGCGCACATAAAGGGATCCTAATTGGAAAATACTGAGAAAAACAAATACCCCATAGATTATTACCCCACATGGACTAAAACACAGATGCCATGAAGCCATATAGCAATTTTGAAAATAAGCAATTTTAACCATAACTCATTATCATGTGCAGTAATACTTTTAAATATTGGGAGCTGTATGGTCATTACCATTTTTAACGTTACTGATAGAGCCTTTTTAGGGTTGAACTTACTGTGCTTCAATGTTTATTTTATTTGCTAATGCTTCTTTTCATTTAGCCCTTATAGGCTGCTTTATATTCACAGCACTGTCGTGCTATTCTTACTGTTGTGCAGTTATTTTGGAGCAATCTGGCATTAATACTTCAGGGTTGACAAAGTTCTTCATCTTATTATAGACTTTTAATTTACATCATCATAATGTTTGCATGCATGATCATATGTGACTAAATGGCCGGCTAGTTGACAGTTGCCTCTCAACCGGAATGTCAAGGGTTCAATCCCCAGCTTAACCCTGCATTGCTCCCGCTGCTTCAGTTGCGGTGTATGAATGGATTAGTGTTGTACTTCCTCTCTGATGTATGTCACTTTGGATAAAAGCGTCTGCTAAGTGAATTGTAGAATTGTAGACTAAATGTCCTGTCTTTCTCAAACAACAAGGGTAAAACAAAATCTCTGAAGTTTTTCAGAGTAAACTTATGACGACTTTAAACAGATTTCTGGTCAATTGCAGTACTGATTTTTATCATTCTTCAACACTCATGGCTCAAGGTCAAAGGTCTATCAGGTGAGGTCTATCACAGGAGGCGGTGGGAGTGTTTACTGTTGCGCAAACTACGAACTTCCGCTTCTGGCGGATCACTCTGAAATGATCTCATTACTGTAAATCGTTCCGTGTGTTCCTTCTCGGTTACTTGAGAACAAATAAATAAATAAAAAAACATTTTAACAAACGTTTAAGAGTGTTAGGTTATATAATAATAAAAAAAGCGAACATTCGTATTGCCATTAGCTGTCGTCTTTTGTATTGCTTTTCTTTTTTTTTTAATAATATTATTATACCAAAAAAATAAACGATGCAACATAATACTCGAAAAATGAGCTGACAAGCATGCATGTGTGGCGCATTGACAAAAAAAAAAGATACAAAACCACTTACTAAATATTAATCTAACCCACTGAAAAGCAACGCTGGGACGCTGTTGCTATAACAACACAAAAAGCGAGCAAGAATAGCATCCTTCAAAACAGCAGCGATATCCCTGTAGCTGAATCACAGACAAAGGAGTTTCTGCTTTTATGTTGCTGAAATTATCAGAAGGAAAAAGATGAATCCACCAGCCGAATCTCTCCTCAAATACGATCATCCAGTTTTGATCAGGGAAAGCACTGACAGAAAGTCACCAAAGGTGAGTTTAGTAACGCCAGCCGAGTTTAGCCGACGTTTACTGGTCAAAGTTAGGCATGATGGCGGAAATAGTTTTGACCGTACAGATATTCCTGCTATAATGGCTGCTGTTTCTATGTTTTCTACCAACATCTTTCAATCCGCAAAGCTTTTAAAGTTATTAAATGATGATGAATATACTATATCATGTATTTCAGGCAAAGTTGATTCATTGTGTAACATGAAATACTTTTCACAACAGGGGCGCCCTTTAAAAGTGGGTCCACAGCAGGTGAGGGGACAGTCTACCTCTACTGACACCACCAAGCAGGAGATCCTAAACGCCATCCTTCCACTCAGGTACAGTTGCATCCATCTACAGTGTGTCATTCATTAAGTTCAATCCACTCAGTTTATCTAAACTTCTGTTATTGCAGGGAATGGACTGACGGAACCGAGCTGTGGATGCAGCAAGTGTCCAGTGCACCTTCTACAAGAACAGATGTTATTCACCTAGGGGAGCTGCTGGACACAAAGCTGCACCAAAGGCAGCCCAGACAGATAGGAATATGCCCTGTCAGTAGGGAGCTCTATTCTCAGTGCTTTGGTGAGAAGGAGGCTCTGATATTTGTGATCACTGAGGCTATTGTGTTGACAAGGATTGAGGATCAAAGTACAAGAATTTGAACCAGTTTTTTGTGTACACATGTCTTAAATTTCATTGCCATACAGCTTTCTTCTGAAGCATTTTGTATACCACTGAAAGCACATTTTTCTCCTCAAATATGTTACTGTTGCATTTACTCATTTTCTGTTTCTTTAAGATGAGCTCATCAGACAGATGACCATCAGGTGTGCTGAGAGGGGCCGGCTGCTCTCGCGGGTCAGAGATGAGAGTCGAATGACTATTGCTACCTACCAGACTCTGTATGAAAGCGGTGTGGCCTTTTCTATGAGGAAAGCCCTTCAGTCAGAGCTGGATAAGGTTGACATGCAGAAAAAAGTAAGGACATTCACTTTTTAGTTGTGTTTAGCAACAATAGATAGCATACAAATGTGGAGTGTTTGCCAATACTGGCATCCATCGATAGAGAATATACAGTATTTGCCACTGAAGGAATAACAATTGAATGCTATTTGGTTTAGTATCCAGCAGAGGGCAGCATTCCTCTAAAATAATGTTTGGTCTTAACGTCACTGATCCTGCATTTTAATAAACTTCAAACACCTAGAGTACTGATCTTGAAGATGAGAAACTGGAGCTGAAGAAGCAAATCAACAAAGTCAAGTCTCAATGTGATGCCAGTGAAAAAAGAGAAACTGAAAGGCGACAGACTGAAGAAAAGAATCATGTGGAACAGATCCAGCTCCTCGAGAGAACCAACCTGCAGCTCAAGGTGACGTTTCAAGGCTTCATACCACAGAAATATATCTTCCCCCTGCACTTGTTCCTGTAGTGGATGTGGTTATGATGTTAATATTCTTATTTTGTTTTCCTCTTTAGACCCAACTAAAATTGAGCCACACACCAAATAAGTAACACCACCATCTTGTTTCTAAATATCTATTAATAAAAATTCCACACAGTGTAATCAGAAAGAGTTTCATTTATTCCAACAGCATGACATGACAAGAACAGCTCAAGTACTGTCCACATCTCTTGAACATCAAGAGAGCATCACACATGTTTATGATGAATGAAAAGTCATTCAAACACAGTTCTTGGTTGAAGGGGAGAAAAAGTTGAGAAGGCAGTTTTTGTTCCGAGAGGGACACACGGTCAGGATAAGGCATCAAGTGGCTACTTGATAAAACCCTTTATACACACCTGTTATAAGTCCACCGTCTTTCAACTTCTTGATTCCATTAATATGTCCTTTTTTGGGCTAATTTAAATAAAAGAATCATTACATGTTGCCTTGACTGTCATATTTTTCAATAGTGTAATTAAAAATGCGCTCCAGGTACCATTTTTAAGTAGATTTACTGTTCTTGAGTACTTCGTTTGTTTCCTCCAATTTGACAGGGTTCACCCGAGTTAAGGAATTACATCTAGGGGTGTTTAAAAAGACTCTTATAAAAACCTGATAATAAGTCTTGATAGAACTTCACAGAAAGTTAAATCAAAGCTGAATCCTCTTCTTTTATTTGTTTATTGGTAAGTTGTTGAATTTTTCATGCAATAATATCAGTCAGTCTCTCAAGGTGTGGGAATTCAGATCTTCTGGTAAAATGAATAATACTGCAAATAAAATAATTCAGAGGTTTTTGGACCATTGTTTAGATATGTTTCATTGTATTTGAATTTTAACAAGCAGAAAATAAAAATATATAAACCTCAGTAGATTAATTAACCAAAAAAAATCATTGATAATAAACCTATACCCTTAGATCAAGTTCAACAGTTAACAGTTAAATGACAAATGGTTATCAAAATGATATTAAAGTATATAAATGAAAAGCTTTTAAAAAAAACAAGCAATACTTTTATTTTACTGGTAATACGAGTTGACATTTGTAATGGGCTCTTGGATCTGTACTTAACTTAAAGGATCTCAAATCTCATCCAACAGGGGTGTTAGCTTGTTTTTACAAATGCCCTCTGTAAACACTTTGATTTAAACTGATACTTCCACAAACTTTTGAAACACTTTGGCTCCTATTTGTAAGATTGTTTTTTTTACATTATGTAAATGTCTGTCCGAGCTGTTCAAGATGCTTGAATGGTTTAAGACGGTAGAGAAGTTGACAGGGACTTTCCCCACTCCAGGAATATTCCCTAATGAGTTGTCATTATCTTAAAAACACCCTGGGGGAAACATAGCTGCATTATTTCTGCACAAGATAGCAGCAGTGATACAACCACATAAACTGAGGAGGGTGGTGTCCGTCCCACTTCTGGATGAGGACAAACATAATGCAGAAGAGAGAGTAAGGAGAGGACAGTTGCAGGTGCTGTGGTCCAGTCAATGAGAGACACATGACAGCTGGCTTGTCACACAATGACTTATTCTTCAACCAAAACACACACACACACACACACACACACACACACACACACACACACACACACACACAGCACTCCACACCAGTGAGTACTGTAGGCTACAACCAGCATGTCTTTAGTCAGCATGTGAACTTAACAAAACAACTTGTTATAATCCATGACAAGTAGAAAAAAAACCAACTTTAATAGATGTACCATGTTTGAGTACATTATAGTTTCGCTGTCAATCATTGCAACTGGAAAAGGACAAATTGTCGCGATCTTGTTTGGCTTTATTGTGGAGAGTTGGGAGAGAATCAGTAGGGGTTCGTACAGGGAGCAAAGTAAGCCCAAACAAGCAACTGCACTTTAGAAAGCAAGCCTAAAACCCCACAACCCGCGACTGACGATATTTGCAAGCGACTTTACAGAAAAACAAGCCCAAAGTCGCTTATAACAAGCGGACCTGGCAACACTGCTAGGCCACAGTAGCAGTAGCGTCAGTATTTTTGGGTCGTCCGTCGCCCCCTGGTGGACATGTCAGAACTACTTCACTGCTGCCTCTGGCTCCTCTGGACGAGTTGTCATGGCAACTGTACAGCATGTGCTTACAAAAACAAGCGCTTGACCGTTCACCGACAGTTCTCTCGACATTCGACATCTACGACGCCATCTTCTTCTTCTTCTTCTTCTTCTTCTTCTTCTTGCATTAATCAGGGACGAAGAAGGCAGCCGATAGTCGGTCAAAAAACAAGGAGAAGGGAAGCCCTAAAAGAGCGAGCGATGAGCGGAGCGAAAGCCCGCAGCGACGCGCCTGTTGCTGACAATGTCTCCAGCGGCGGACACAGCACTGCGGCTCCTCAGCGTAAGCCCGGCGGAGGGGTTCTGAAGAGGCTCAAGTCCCGGAGGAGTCAGGTGGACAGCAGGCCCGTCACGGAGGAAGACCTGCGGACACAGAGTGGGAACATCACGCCGGAGGATGTGTTAGGACTGCGGGTAGCTACGAGAGGTTTGAGTCTCTTATTTATGTGGACCACTGAAGCTTAGAGAGGTGCCCATGCTGAATTGAGTAGCCTTTTTGAACATAATGTAACCGAATCCCTACACTAAAGAGAATATAGTAAGTTTTAGGATAAATTAAAATAGAGCAAATTACGTAAGCCTAATCAAAAATGGATGCACGATTTATTGGCTATATGGAATTATTTATAAAAGTTGTAGTCTAATTATCTGACAGATATAAGCCTACATATGACATCATAAAGTTAGACGTCATCGGACCATCTTTCACCTATGGAACAGCCTATAGACCTCTACTGTGTCTCTTTAACTGTTTAAGATCCTGCAATGACATCCAAGTCTTCAGGAAATGTCAGATGCAAATGCAGGAGTGCACTTCTGTGACATCATGTGATTTATCAGGACGACAGTGTATGGAAATATATAAACGAAAAAAAGTATGAAATGAAAGTAGGTTGTCGCCATTGCTGTAGCCTACTTTTGCAGCTGTTGAGGAAACATACAATCTGATATGAATGGAAGCTATATATTTAATCAAACACTTCATCTGCTTCTTGTAAGAGAATGTGGGTTTATGAAGTTGAACTTGGAAGTTCAAAGTTGTGTTTTTATTTAATGTTTCTTACAAAACACACCCTTTGTCATTGTATGTTCGTAATTTCCATTATGACTGTATTGACTTACTACTGTAGCTACAAAATGATAACAATGGTAGTATCTTATGTATTTTTATAGTGAGGATAATTAAAACTGCATGTGTCTTTGCATAAGCAAAACTAAGTGCGAGTGTTGAATAAAGTCAAGCACAGAGTTTTGCAGGTTGTCTTTGTTCGTGTCCAAGCAGACTGTCTACATATTGACTTAACTAAAATGGCTTGACAATATTCTCAGTATTTATGACTCTCGTCTCCTGTCTATCATTGCTACAGGGTACCTCTGTAAACCTGAGGAAAATATTTACAACATTGACTTTGTACGCTTCAAGATCAGAGACCTGGAGACCGGCACTGTCCTGTTTGAAATTGCCAAGCCCCCGCATGCAGGTACTGTATGTTAATAATGAAAATCAAGATGTTGACTGCTAAGAATCTTCTCTCTGAACATTGCTGTGTTCTCTGCTGACTACTTGTTCTTAGCTTCAAAGTCTCAAAGCATTTTTGTAATAATCAGAAACAACAACAACATTGCTAGATGTTTGGATCATAAAAGAGTCCTCAGTGTGAATCGTATGTTGTTGGTCTTAGACGATGATGAGGAAAACAGAGAAGCAGACACCAGCGCAGGCCGGTTTGTACGCTACCAGTTCACCCCAGCTTTCCTGCGCCTAAGAACTGTGGGAGCTACGTGAGTGACTCACACACCACCAACGCACACCTAGGGAAAACACACTCACCTGTTCCATTCACAAACAATGGATACAATTGCAGCTCTCTTTGTCTCTGTGTTCGACTGTAATAACATTATATTATTATATTATTATTGCACACAATCAGAGCTACAGCGCTGTAGTGACATCTCAGTCTACCCTCTCTCTGTGTTCATTAATCAGGGTGGAATTCACAGTTGGAAACAGGCCTCTAAACAACTTCCGCATGATCGAGAGACACTACTTCCGCGATCACCTGCTGAAGAGCTTCGACTTCGACTTTGGTTTCTGTATCCCAAACAGTCGGAACACCTGTGAGCACATCTATGAGTTTCCTCAGCTGTCCGAGAGCCTGGGTGAGTCGTGTTCTTCTAGCTCACAACAGTTAACACTTTAAAACTAGTTTAAAACAGGTATTTTAAACAAGTGTACATTACATCATATCTTTATTTTTTAAGGTCTAGTATAAAGTAGTAGGAGCTTATTTTATCCGTCCATAATGCAAAAAGCGAAGAAACAAAAGTTCAGTTGACATCTCGTTAATGGAGATTGGTGATGCCCCCTTTGTCCTGTGTCATAGAGGAAGACTTTATGCCAAGTACATTCAACCCACATTAGCAACAAAATCTTTTATCTCTATGCAAGCTGTGCTTCATTCATAATTATGGACAGCATCACATGTTGTGTTTATGCTGCATGGAGGATTCATGTCATCCAGCCCCATTTTTGCATTTTTATGACAAAGATCTGTCAAAGATTTTATTTATATTTTATAAAGGTAGTGAATGCAGTTCTGTCTGCACATATTGGTGAATTCCTCCTAAAACAAAAACCCTTAAAAAATAATGAATACTAACTTCAAATGATCACACTCGAGACTGGATGATCCCATTAGATTTAGTAGCTCCTTCCTGCACTAACTGACATATAATCTGGAAATGTTATTGGTTTTCATAAAAGTACTTTACTTTCCTAAAGTTTGGTAAATTCAAAGCTTGATCCAAAGGCAACTGGACTTGGTTGGAGATCTTGAAGATGTAGCATTAGCATGCTAATGATCCACAGAGGTTTACATTTCTAGGTCC